ATTTTTATGGTTGTCAGAATCACATACAACACTTGCAGATTTGAAAAATATTGAGCGCCTTAAGTTTTTCTTTCAAATCTGTTGGATTTATAATTTAGTTTCCTTAAAAATATATATAATAAAATAATTCTCGTAACGATATTGAAGCATTATCTTAGTGATTTTGGACATGACGATTGATAAAAAAATACCATAAGCTATAAATTAAAAAAAAAAACATCAAAATTTCAGTTAAAAGAAATATCACGGTCGGTGTACCACAAAGCTCTAAAACAAAGAATACAGGCGATTAAACTGAACAAACGGGCAAAGTTGCCGCCTCGTCAGCTTTGCCTTCTAGTGATATACAACGTGGTCTCTGAAAGAACGGAGTTAGGCCAAAGAACATAGAATAATGCTTAATGTTTCTAGATAACAGAACAACAAAACTTTACATACATTCTTCTCCGCTTTCGCCGACGAATCCTCATAACTGACTATTGTAAGTTTAGTTTTAGATGAGCTATATTATAAAATAGTTATAAACTATGGTAAAAATGATTTATAGACACATACACTATTAATAGCGGATATACATATATAGATTATATTATTTATTTATTTTGATTCAGAGTTTTAATACAATATTTCCGCTCCCGCCTCTCAATGTATCCATGGTCATTTATTTTACGACACGGACGTCATGTTACATGCAATGTATGCTGAATCAGTACTGTACAGAATTAAGGTAAATAATTGCAAACGTTTGGGATAAATCACGTTCCGTCTTTAGCCGGGGTGAACTTCGCCAAGCTATATTTGCCTACACCTTAACACGTGAGAAACGTGTTTGTACTTCACGAAAGATTTTCGTAGTATGCATGTTTATATTCCAACTCATTAATTAAATATTAGATAAATTATTAAGAGAAATACTCAAAAAAACCTTCCCCAGATGAGACTTCCAAGTATATTTCTTTAATAACTATTAAACTTATGGTTCTTAAATCTTAACTCCAGTTTAAAGTTACATAGCAAGTTGTAAAGATATTTACGACCCGGCCATAATATTTGAGATATTATAACCTAAGGAAAATATTCAAGAGTTTGCGAGACGCAAAATGCGGTAACCCCAAAACTTCAAGTGACATCTTTGTACCGTGACGGAAGTCATAAAGTAAATATATGAAGAGTATGTTCATGATCTTGCTGGCAACATACGTATAAATGAAATATGTTCATAGATATAATATCGAGTGATGTAAAATAAAATATATTTATGAGGATTTCCCTTTTAAAGGATGAATTAAGAGCATTAAAAATACGTCAAACTTTTTTTTATTTTGTCTTTTTTTAAATTTAAACCCATTAGAACCATTTAAAGAGTTTTCAATTGTTAAAGCTGACAAATGATATTTTTATGTTAAAATCTATTTATATAATCAATAAGTAGTGTAGTTTAAAAGTCAGTGGTGGCTCAGTGGTTAAAGGGCCGGCCTCTCGTGGCCGAGGGCGCGGATTCGATCCTGGCCCGGGCAAGTACCAATGTGATTTTTCCGAATCATATGTACTTTCTAAGAGTATTTAGACATCTCTGATTAATGTTGATTCCCAAAAGAGGGTTGGTATCAGGCAGGCGGCCGGTCGTAAAAACAAATAGCCAAAAACTATTCACAACATGTAAGGCAGACCCTGGCTATAGCTGGGAAATTGCCAGGTAAAAGAATAAGTAATGTAGTTTTAGAAATTATAGTGTAATTAATAACTCAAACATTGTATCAGCACCTTTGATTGATAATAATGAAACTGAATGCAAAAGTTCAAACTTAAATCATCTTCGCATTTTAAAACATCGTTATTTTAAATGTAAAGTTATATTACATTTAAAATTACAATTTCATTACGTTTCAGAAACCGTGATCACTTAAAGACGATATGTAACTATCACTTAACCTCGTTTTTTGTTTTCCACCACGAACTCACCCAGAACAGTAAGGGAAAATACTTGGAAATTGTTTGCGATAGAAAAATTTAAATGCGGAAAAACCCTGCATTAAATAAACGTTTTACATTTTACGTTAAAAATAATGAGATATACGATGAACGTTAATTCCATGAATGAATATAATAAATTATGAAATACACTGTTAAAAGACAGAAAGTGCAAAGGGAATTTTAACAACTTTGATTTTTAAATCCTTTGTTCTGATTATTCATTCGAAATAATAAACATGAAATTATAAATAAGTATTATAAAACATTTAATTTTAAACAATTGAGTATCAGAACATCAGTGACTATTGACAAAAACGACCCAATGAAGTTCCATAACAAAAGATTCGACACTGTTTTTCTTAGCCTGTTTTATACGTGTATTAAACTTATAATTTTAAGTTATTTTCAGTGCAATATTATATACGTTGCTTAAGTTAACCTATAAAAAAATTACAGGAATCCTATGTGAACTGAATTGTCTGTTTATTTTCAAAATATCTATCTACTGTTAATATGTATAAGTAGATTGCCAATAGATATTCAATTTATAAATTCATTACAATATCAACATGTATAACTTTGATATGAATAATAAACAATGAAATTTGATTGAAACAAACTAAACCATTTAAATGCATACTATAAACATTATTTTAATTACAAAACACTATGTACATACATATGTTTTTAATTATTTGAATGGTAAAACTTTATATTAATCATATTAAAACGATTTGATTACAATTCTATCGTTAATACGAACAAACTAATCTAAATTCATTAGCGGTCAGGCTCGTCTAAATATTTGAATAATTTGATTTCACTTTGTTCTGAATAACCGTGAATTGTTGGGCGTGAGAAGAACAGGGTTGACAAGGGTCTTTAACAGAGATGTGAGAAGAATTAATAGAACAACGAGGCTATTAAATAGTATGACGTTTAGATTAAACTTTCAGTAGTCACAGATCAATTATAAAAGAGAGTATCAGTCGAAATAATAATCTATGTTTTGTAACTTGAGTTGAAATAGAAAAAAGGACGCTTAAAATTTTCGCACATTGAATATCTCCGACTCAAGTGAAAAAAATTACTCATCATGAAAAGTAAGGTAAATCAACTCTTTCAAATGTAATGTAACAACTTCTCACTTGCACCCATTATAATTTGGTGTTGCAAACCTAATAATGATTTGCCACGTTTCTTGAATGTTACATAAGATAAATAATATGTAAGGAATTGCTGAACAAAAATTATTTCATATTTTTCTGAAAAGTTTCGTTATATGATAATTTTGACAAATATCACTCTATTTGCAATGATTTTTGACAACTATTTGGATTTTAAAACTGTCGCCTTTTACAATCAGCGTCCGCTTTAGTATGATGTAATTTTTTTTTATACGTTTTATTCTTCTCAGTCACTTTATGGCTCGAATTTGGATAACGGAGTCTTAAAATGGAGTCTCAATATTTTTTTAGGACAAAGGTTTCAAAGAAGCAAACGGCTTCTTGATGGAAGGTAGTCACCGTCTCCCTTAGCCATCTGCAACATACAGAATGTTACAGATGCGTTGCCAATCTTGATTCTGGAAGAAGGAGAGGAAAGAATGAGAAAACCGGCTTTCTCATACATAGGACTAAACGCAATCATTAAAAGCTTCTTTACTCCGTGAGGAGGTGGTACCTTACAAGACAAAACATGTTCGAGCTGTAGTAACTTAACTATACCTAAGTTCTACCACTTGTAAAATTCCTTCATTTATTTCTAAGTTCCCCATACAAGGTATTTTGTGTTTAACCCTTTATTTAAACCATTTCTTTAAGAAAGTCTTTTATTTTATTTGCAACTGGTTTATGATGTCCACTTAAAGTATAACAAAAAAATATATATGATTTAAGTGTACATCATAACACCGCTTAATACGCCAAAGTTAATCTTTGATTCAGTTTACTTTCTTCAGAAATTATTTTTAGGGCAACAATTTTTTTTTTAGTATCAGTTACCTAATACCTAGAATATTCAATAACAAAAGCAATAAACCATAACTTTTATATTCTTATAGTGTAATTTTGTCATCGTCCCAGTAATATTATAAAGGAATATTGTTTTTTAAAGGATCTATTATTAACAAAATGGATAAAATGCTCAGGAGATCACAAGGTAATTACTGTATTTTAAATAAAGTCAAATAAACTACTATAAATGAACACAAACTATACATGTTTCTCTGAAGTGGTAATCATATTTAAGGTTTTATCAAACCATAAGTTTCTCTTCGACACCACTTGCAAAATGTACTTGGATGAAATCGAATAAAAAGTTATAGTTTATTTACGCTTGAAATATTCAAAAGCTTATCTAAATGACATTAGAACGTCTCTTTAACATCTATTCAGATTTTATCAATTTTATCTTAAATGATTTAATATTTTACAAAATGTTATCAACCATATTCAAAAAAGTTTATTTGATTTGTTTGAACGAAAAGAGCCATAATTCGTAAATTTCAGCTTTAAAATATGTAGATAAAATATTGAATATAAAAATCTAAAAACTATATATCTTTTTTATTAATTTTTAAACCATCGTTTTTTATTTCTATTGCAGTATGAAAAAGTTTTTATTAAATAATTTTAAATAATAAAAATTTATCCCTAAATTATTCAATAGTCTCCATAAAATTCCAAGTTTTAATTCATTTCGACTTCTTATAAGCATACATTCTGTTTTGGTTAAGAGGCTATTAAAATACAAAAGGTTTATATGCGAATGAATAATGTAAAGACCGACCCATTTCAATTTAATCAGAGCGAAAGGTGTGAACAACCTTTTCAAACAATACCTGTGGAATAAAACTAAATAAATCAAATACGATTTTATGGGGGAATTCGACCTCGAGATCAATGTTTAATGGCTGCTGGTCAATTTATTTTCTATTTTTGTTATCCTTCCCAAATAAGTATTATATCACGGATAAAATTTTAAACCCAGCTTTTTCATATCAAATACCGGGAATACTTTATTTATCAAGCATATACACATTGATACATGAACTCCTTTAGTTTTCGAACTGAATCTTCTGAAAATCTCCGAGCTTTGATGCTGCAATTAGATAGTTTCTCGCAGGACTGCTCATTGTGTCTTCGAGCATTTGTCAAACTAAGATCAAGTTCGTACCCTAACAACGCTGCCGCCCGGGAGAGCTCTTTTAGACTGGATGTAACGTTAGATCTGAACATTGAAAATTATTAAACGACATGAGTGATGCCCGCTTCAAAGCCATGCAAATATTCCTTATTTTCATTATAATAAAAAACTCAAGAAAAGTCAGTTAATAAATATAAAAAGATAAATTTAATCTTCCATTGGCTGTAACATTTACTGTATCGAGAAGATATTTCTAAGGAACTCTGTAGATTCTTTCTTTAAATTGAATTGACAGAGACGCCAAAGTTAATCATTGATTCAGTTTACTTTGTTCAGAAAGAGAAAGTAATATTATTGGCATTTCAGTTGAAACTAGAACAATGGTCTAACTATTATATATATAATAAAATTCTAGGTAGATAGCTATTGCTATTATTATAGTAAAAAGTCAAGTATTTTTATAATACAACATAAAAATGTTATCTTACCTTGAAATTGACTTATCGCTTAGCTTTTTACCCACTTCTTGTAACGCGAACTCCATGTGTCTACGTGTGATACTTATCATTTCTTCCGCGTACTTTCCCATTTTAGAAATAGATTCCTTAGCTTGCTCCGTGCACTTGTATATTAATGAGACGTGTTTGCTAGCAAGTGTGAGTGCTGCACGACGTTCTTCATTGCACATGGCTTTTAATAATTAAAAACACACGAATAAGGTTAAAAAGACAAACTAGGCTTATAACTGACTTTTTACTGGTTATAACATTCTTCTGCATTTTATATCAAGATATGTGATACGAGTTCCATATGTCCTTTTAATAGAATCCTAATAAATATAACTCAGACAGCTTTCAGCTGCCTTCTCAAAAGCTACAATGCAATTGACGTCTTCTATATATATTCTATTCACTCTAGATAAAATATATTAAATTTCAAACTGCTATATTATAGCAATTTATTTTATAAGGATGATTTAAGACCTTAGTCATATACAATTTCAATATATTATTATTAAAATACGTTACAAAAACTGAACCATACTACAATGTCTTCTTAATAATTGATTAAACTAGAAAGTATATTATTTTCTCTGGTTATCAAATTTGAAATATATCTTTAATAAGAAGAAAATTAATTACAAATGTTACAAAATTCGCAGATCGTTCGAATAAAAACAAGTTCAACTTGTATCTCATCAATCATCGTGGAAATTATTCAGAACGAAACGACTTTCTTTCGGAATAATTAAGTAGTTTGGTTATATTGCATGAACTAGACTCCGCCGGCGGCTTTGCTCGTGTAACTGTTTTGTAAATGTGAATTTAAATGCATTTAAGATATAACACGTATTTAAAAATATTTCTTACATAACAAAATTAGATTTAAATTTATAAATTATTTCATTAAACGGCCTGAAGCCTAATTAATAGATAGGCTAAAAAATTTAATCATGATTTTTGGGAAAAAAAATGGAAAAATGTATCGTTTTGTGAAAACTCTATTAAAAATTATATAAAGGCTCCTTATAATAACCTTAACAGTGATATAGCTAAAAAGTTATGAGTGTACATATATTTATTGGTGGCGTGCAAAAAATGTAATTAATTTTAAATCTACAAACAAACTCTTTAATACTATTTTAATGTATTAAAACTCCATCAAATATAAAAGCTTTTAAATTTATATTAATGAATCGTTTAGTATATCATCGTTTATTTATTATTTTCAATAGAAATTCTTTAAGAGAATTTCTAACGGATAATAATTTTAATCTATTTATAATATTATAATGGAAGCATTTATAGTAATTAATATACACTGATGCAACTGTATAGATGTGTTAAGTTCTCGTATATAACAAAACATTATATTTATTAAAAGATAATAAATAACAGAGGATAGTACTCACGTGGAACTTTTAATGAATCCGCTAAATTAGTAAGCTCGGTGTATATTTTTTGTTTTTTCCTTATTGCCGCATTAATCTCATCTTTTATTCTTTTTACTATTTTGTTTGTTAACTGTTGATATGAGTTCTGTATGTTTATGTGGTACGTATCTAAAAATGGTGCTATCACCGTGTCCACGTATCTTTTCACTTCCCTAAAATATATTATTTTAAAAATAACCTATATAAAATATCTTGGTTATTAAATAGCTTAAAATAGAAACAGTTGAAAATCTATTTAGATCTGCTAAATAAATATAGGAAAAATATTTGTAAGACAAATATACTAATATTATTTTATTACAGTATTATTTATTTTATTTCCAAGACGTGTGTAAATGTTACCGATTTGCTAAAGACACCTTATCCTGTCTGTTTAGTCGTCTTCCCGTAGAACTGTTGGCAAAAGTATTTCTTATATTGTCTAAATGATGTTCAACTTCCACTGTTTGAAGCTGCCAGGAGGGGATCTCAAAACAGAGTCCACCATCGTGACGCAGATGATTATTTCTATCCTGAAGTTCATAATAAATTAATTATCACATAAATAAGATACAATTTTTATCTTTACTAGATACTGAGCAATGAGCAGTTTCAAAATAATTGTCAAAAACAAAACAAAGGACGGATTTTTGAAGGTGTAATTAATTCCTTTAACTACTGGAAGTAGTCTTGTAAATACTTCGATTTTTGCTTTTATGTACAATTGTTTCTCGGATTTTATAGTTTATTTAGGTCTTATGAGTATGTGATTCAATGGAAAATGGTCACCGTGTTCAACGGCAACGTTGCCGGATGAAAGCTAATTATCATAACCTGATAGTTTCAGGCCATTCGGGTTATGTGTGTAAGTAATTTAGACTACAAAATGTAAACATATTTCAATAACTAATTAACCTCACCCTACAATTAATAAACGGCACAACAAATATTGGACCAAAACTACAAAATACCGCACACAATGAAATCAAATACATATTTGTTAAAATCAGTCATAAGTTACAACATACTTCAGCTAGTAATAGATTAATATTGACAATTTTGGGAATACAAATCATAAAATCATTGACATAGCTGCTAATTTGCTTTGACATGTTCAACAGTTATTTATAATCAGTAATATGAGTGACATTTTAGTGGAAAGCAATTACAAGCTTCAACGGAACGTGAAGGATTTATTAGAATTTCATTTTATGTAAGTTGAGACATACTAATTTTAACTTTATGCTATGTCACGTAAATATTTAAATTGATGGTCGCAAGTTGTCAGAAATTCATTTCTACTTTCATTGTACGAATAATGCAGAAATGGTGTCCTTGTTGCAAATATCACAATTATTATCTGAATATATTCTAGATTATTAAAATTTTCATCTATTAACGTTTAACTTCAAAATGTTCACAAATATCGCAGTTAAATTTTGTACTAGCTATGGTCAAAACTTGGTCAGAATAACGAGCGACTTTTCAGCATTTTGGTGAGAAATTTTGTTTTTTATGCATCGCCACTGTAAAATAGTTATTTTCTAAATATATTACAATAACGCAGAGAAATGATACCGCTGTCTCCCGTTTTGCTTCCCGATTAAATCTTTGCAAGTTTCCTTGTAAATTTATCACTTTTAAATAGGAACCGGTGCAAAGTTTTGGCAGGCTTTAATTTCTAAGAAGCGTTATGGGCCCGCCGGTGTTTTAATTTTCTTTTATAGACTGATAGTCCAGGGTTACTAAGAGATTCTAAAATCTAGATTATTTATCGTTTGATCGTTGCGTGGAGTCAACAGAGCTCTTTCACTAAGGCAACAAATTTCAAATTGAAAAGTTTGACCATTTTTGCCAAATACAAAGGTAAAATAACACGCCAAAGTGGAGAACACAATCTCGAACTTAGTTTAAGACATAACTTTGTGAAATTTCAGCGAGATTTACTGCAACCTATTTTATTAACATTGTGAAATATCTATTAATACATTCACAGCCTGCTAATGGCTTGGGTCTACTACACACTACATTACATATGATTCTTTCCAATAAATGTAACTATTTCTATTAATAGCAACCAAACAATTATCTAAATAATTTTCACGTGATATCTCTTTTTTTATCATAATTTAATTGGAAAAGTACTTTGCTGATTTCTGAAATCGTTTGAGACTGACGCAATAGACTGATTGACATGAGTTATACTATCACCACAAGACGTGATTCCCGTTCTTCCAGTTGCTCCTAAGATTATACATTTGCTGTCAAAATTTCTGATAACTCAGATAGGTTTCCTTACCTGTAAATTTCCAAGTAACATGATAGTGTACGAGCTTCGTGATCTGTGGACATACGTGCCTGTTCTCTATTCTACCGATTTGAAAGGCCATCATTTGAGAACTATGTGTACTCAATGGAGAATCCTGATTCATAAATATTAACTTAATCTTCTAGTACCGAAAAAGGGAGAAATGTTTCTTAGATATTTTTAATGCATATTGCAAAGGGTGTTAAAAATTGTTAAAAATAGAGAATGGCAAGATAATAATTTATTATGTATATTTATAATTTATCAAATTCGATATTTTAATATATGAATAACATAATAACATATTCTTCAATTTAACACTGACCAAAGCATGAATCAAGAAAATCACGAATTACTAAATTGTTTTTAAAACATAAATAAAAAAAATATCAATTAGAAGACACGATGGCTAGATAAGAACTTCAAAGTCCACACAGACAGTTTTTTTAACGATAAAATTAGTGTTAAATGATTTTTTCAGTAGGCGCACATTTTTAATTATAAAATATGAAAGAATCAGCAAAGGTTTACTGAAGGTCACCATTTTTTATCATAAGTCATTTCCGAGGTGAGCGTAAACAAATATATACGGTAATAAATAAAACGACGAAATATTTAACGACAATTTTTTTTAATTCTATTTCATTGATAAAGATCCCCATTGATATATATTTCTTAAAATATCTTCCATAACCAGAGTTTCTAAATAATTTTTATTACGATTCTATAGTAATTTTTATTTTATTAAAAATATTTTGAAAATACAAACGAAATTGCTGTCAATGTATTTATAATAATATGAAAGTCCGTCAAAATGAAATTTGATTATTTTATTAACACACAATGTATAACCATTGTAAAATTAATTAAATTTAGATTAAAACAAATGATATAAACGTGCACGTATAAGGATTTTAGAGGCAGGAAAAAAATATTAATTAAGCGTGTAATTAATTCAGGTAACGTTCCAGTAAGGCAAGACAGCTCAGGCACTTAGCGCGGAAAAAATACATTACCAGAGGAGCTCCGTTGCGGAATTTAAGATAATATTTTCGATGAAAACTCCGCGGGGAATTAAATTACATTTATTTCTCGTGCCTAGTTTGTTCCGAGTTCTATATTTAATAAAACATGTCTGTGCAGGAGGCAGTCTTATTATATTGTGGAATAATCTGAGTTTTAGTTTCTGTAAATTACGTAAAATATTTCTTTGCAACTTATGATTTTTTTTATGTATTATAAATAAGAAATATATATTTATTCATTGGTTATGTGAGTTATATGTATTTGTTTGTGTTTATTAAGGAACACTGGGTAACAAATTGCTGTGTAAGGAAGCAGACGCCATACATAGTTATGTGAAACTGTCGTTCCGAAGCGCTTATCACATGCATACATGCATCGAAATCCACATTTATTGGCACATAGCTGCCGCACAACTTGATACCTAGCAAAATCTTCAAACAAACATTCTAAAATTTAGCATCGTTACTAAGATACTCCGAAGAGAAGATGCATTTTTATATTTTAACAACTTTAATATCTAACACAATCAGAATGCACCGAGCATTTTTCAAAGTACAAATGTGGTTTTCTGACTTAAAATTTAAATCCCTCAGAAATATATTCTAACAAGTAAGTAAATAATTTTTCTGACAATTTAAATGTTACAACCGCTTGGGGCTTTAATATCCTTTCAAGATACCAACGGTTAAAAGACGTTGGACTTCAGGTATAAATACTATTAGTAAGAATACCTATATTAATATTTTTTTTGAAGATACGTTAAACATTTTTTAAAGTAATTATTATGCATTCTATTTTAATTAATATAATATAAAATTGTATAAAAAATCCTAGTGTGTAATTAAAAATAAAAATGTATTATTTTCCAGTCTTAGAAGAAACATCACATAATTATAAATTGCATAACGACTATACTGTCATAAAAATTTTACTCATTTAATTAGATAAAGGTGAATAGGGGCGGTTAAAAGAAAGTCAGTGGTGGCGTAGTGGTTAAAAAGGCCTACCTCTCATGCACGAGGACGCGGGTTCGATCCTGGCCCGGGCATGTACCAATGTGATTTTTCCGAGTCATATGTACTTTCTAGAAGTATTTAGACATCAGTGATTAATGCTGATTCCCTAAAAGAGGGTTGATGTCAGGCAGGTGGCCGGTCGTGAAAACAAATAGCCAAAACTGTTCACATGTAAGGCAGACCCTGGCTATAGCTGGGACATTGCCAGGTAGAAGAAGAAGAATAGGGGCGGTTAAATATGCAATGCAAAGCAAACACGGAAGCCTGTGTCTAAATACACAATTTTTTCAAGCAATTTTGAGTGGAATATATTATCTTAATACTAAAATGCAATACATAAAGTGCTGCATACACCGTGGAACAGCTGTCAAAATGCCGTAAGTCCGGTCTCGTCCGGTCTGTCAGACCGATGTGTGGCAGTGAAATGTGGCACGCTACGTTACCACTGTATAGCATTATGCTGTGACACGAATGCATCACTACGTGACGAGAAAACTATTGTTTATAAATTTACCTTATATTAGTATTGGGAGGATATAGGTCAATTGCTTTCTCATAAAACAAGACAATATTATATAGAGGAAACTCTTTCCGATTAACAATATTTAACAATACTTAAATATGTATTGTATACTTCACATAATAGTCAATTAAAATAATGATGAAGTACGAACTTTACTATAAAAAGCATGTTTGTGTTTAAGCATTTACATAAATATATTTTGTCATCTAGCCTTTTAGTGCTGATTGGTGATTAAAAATTTATTGTGACTTTAAAATATAAATCAAATAGCATGTTTCTTTATATGAAATCTTTATTAGGACTCCCTCTTATTTTTCACTTAAACGTTTTCATACACAACTCAATATATTAAAATATCTAAATATAAACCAAATGATATTTATATAACAAGTACTTCTATCGTATTCACAAAAAAATATTGAATAAAAATATCTATATCATATGAAAACAAACATCGAGACAAAGGTATGAAAAATCAAAGCGTTTACAATAAATACTTATAAAGGATATTCTCAAATTTGAATCAAGCAATAAATTGAATAGGCAAGAAAAAGGCCAGAAAGCAATTTCCCCGGAACGTTATCACATAAATTGCTTTCTTCGTATGGTAAAATCTTGTTGAAGTACTTTGCCAATAAAAGAGGAATTATATTTTTCTCCATCTCTGTTATTTCATTTACGTAGAAGCATAGCGTGATTGCAACTTATTCAGATATTTATAGATCACTATTATTAGAAACAACAGATTATTCTCTGGCTTTTATGAAGCAAATAAACAAGGGGGTTCTATTTGTAACTCCACTAATATTTCACATGTTTATGGTATTCCTCTACAGTTTTAGTTTAGGCAATATAAGTCTATTGTAAATAAAGTATAAGTATAATTTAAAATAAATCTATAGACAGAATATTATAGATATTTATTAAAGATAAAAATTACGTGGAATTTTATAATTCAAAAATATGAATCGCGAGATCGTTCTTAAATTCCCAAATGAAAACTAGTCAACTGTAACTCAACCTTGTAACACTTACTATGATATTGTTAACGAATGTTAGTGCCAGCCACTTTTAAAATATAATTTAACCGTAGTACTTACATACATTTCAATTTTCTAATGG